AATTTTGGGCTAGAAGATTATAATTCAAGCAAGCTTTAGTAACTTTGTTACCTTGTCTTATTCTTTGGGAGCCAGAATGTATGGAATTTACATTAGAGTGCTGTGGCCTCAGCAGAGCTCAACTTTGCTCCTCCCTCTCCCTTTCCTCTGTATACTTTCTAGCACCTATTTCTGTTGGCAACTGGACTAAGATTCTTTGAATTTCCCAGTAACAGCCTCTGAAACAGTTAATCTGATAGGTTTGTCTAATTACGTTCATTACTGACTGCCTGGCATGAAGCCATCTCCTAGGTCACTGTCCAGCTACTGACTGGCCATGTGTGAACACTCAGTCCAACCAGCTGTGGCCAAGTAAGGTCAGCTCTTGTAGTGCAGAGCAGGACCATCCCAGCTCAAGGTCAGCCTGAGGCTATTTTCTTTAGCAGGGAGTCAGTGGCCATGGATAACATCACACACTACTTGTCAAAGGAGTTATGGATTTTCTACATGGTGATAATTTTAAGTTCCTCTAATTTATTTTTTGTGTTCCATGTATGCATGTTCTGAGAAATATCAGCTACTGGTATATTAAGGAATTGAACATGAATTTTTTTCTCCTACTGGTTGCTGATGGTTTGGTTTGCTCAGTAATCTAATCTGGGAAGAATATTCTGGATAGGAAGAAGGAGGAGGGAGGTGTCAGCATGATACTCACAAAACTGAGTGGGTTTGGTGAATGTATGGTGAGTTTTTCCAGGCGTATATATTTATAAAGTTGATTTAAAAATAAGAATGTGAGAGTGATGGTCTTTGACATTTAAAAGAAATGTTTTGACAAGTGCATGCAATGACTTCATGGTGCATATTCCATAAATTCAATAGGAGGGAAGCTGTGGAAATGTATGTCTTTCAAGTGAGTGGTATTTACTGTTGTGAACTTGTTAAGTTACCCAGAGTACTGTCTGTCACTCCTGCTTTCACTCTCACTTTACATAACTAGGTAGTTTTTTCAAAGGTAATGGTAATATGTGAATCTTGATGGGATTCTGGATTTTTAAAAAGTGATGGATATAATATTGGACCGGTGGGGCCAGATTTAGTATGTACTGTAGCCAGATGAAATAATTCAATGAATGTTCATTTGTTTGGGAGTAATAGTGTATTATGGAAATATAGAATGTCCTTATTTTCATGATATGCATACTGGTATTTAGGGGAAGTATACACAGATAAATTGGGACAGATAAGTTGATCAAGCCAACATGATACAATATGAACAATTTGGAACTATGAATGTTATTCTTCAATGGACATGAAAAGTTGGAGGGAAATGTGTTACTAGTAATTTGGTTTGGATGGCTTGACTCTGAGATCCACAACTGGAGCTTGTCTCAGATTAGGGATATTGCCTTCAGTTGCATTAGTCTGGTTTCTTAACTGAATGTTCTGTTGGAGATGATTCACGAGTTCACACTTCATCAATTACCAGATCTCCAAAGCAGTCATTAAGGAGGAAGTTGGGATGGATTTTACCTTTAAGAAGTAGCATGCTTAATTTGGTAGCTATCTTAGCTTCATTCATAAGAAAATGACTCATTTAGGTAAATGGTGTACAACTATTGCTCCTCTGCAATGCTGGCTGATACCTATTTGGCCACTCCAACTGACACAGAATCTAGAACACATGCCAGGGTGAATGGATGCTCATGAGGCCATTGGTGGGCCAGCCCTGCATGAACCAGGATGCAATCTTACAGGGGACAGTTTCAGTCTATTTAAAATCACTAGTGGTTTGCAAAGAATAACGAATAAATGTCCGAGGTGAAAGGACATGACTAGACCAGATGCCATCCTGCAGTTGGGCTGCAGGGAATGCCATGCACGTGGAAGGCAATGTGAATGGTGCCTCTGCAGTTTTGCAACACAGTACTAGATGTCATGAAAAAAACGAAGTGCCTGCTGAAATTCACAGTGCTGCAGAGATGGTAAAGCAGCTGAGACCCTTTTGTGATCAGTTCACTCGGGTTGTGGACTGTTACCATTGCCTCTGCATTCTTACTCTAGCATTTTTGCAGAATTATTTTTGGATGGACAAGTAACTGGTAACTTGAGCAATATGATCAGTAACTTCTTAAGGGAAAACCTTATGAAGCACATCTGAGAATGTATTTTTAAAATACTTTTCTAATGTCAGTAACTATTTCATTAGTTTTTGCTCTGGAGTTTAGGGTATCCTATATCTTTCAAGTTGTTGTAAATGATCTTTTTGAAACAGAAATGGCATGAGTAGGCCAAGTACAGATTTCTAAAGGAGGTCCTCCTGTGTTTGGCCTTTGGCACTTGGGATGTTGGTGTTAATGGAGAGGTTGGGGTCATTTATTATCCTTGGAAAGTGAATTTGAAGAATTGGAACTTTTAGGCAGTGAGTGTTTGCTTGGCTAATAACCTTCCATTCCTAAAGTTTCATGTGAAATGTGATTGCTTTCTTTTGTCACCTTGCTAAAGGTGGATATTAATCTTCTGCTTTTCTTATTAGATCTGTTGACAGAGATGGAGATTATCGCAGTAAAGGGAAGGAAAGAGCAGAGAACAGGGGAATCAGCAAGCAGGAACTTGCATCGTTTTATTGAATGGCTCTTTTATCAAAGTGACTGCAAGAGAAGTCTCAGGGTTCTGGAATCACCACACAAGCTAAATTCATAAAGCTTTCCTCAACTGAATCACGTTTTTAACGTTTAGCTCAGGGTCTTCTCTAGTTCCGCTCACTGGTGTTGAAGAGATTTTGTTGATATTTTCTGTAAGTGAATTAGGCCCGCAGTCATTTGCCCAAAGCAGACGATGGCTTCTTAAACAGAGCACCCTCGGAGGAACTTATGATATCTTCAGAAATATAACAGATCTGTCACAAGGGATAATGCCTGCCATTCATTTCTTTTGGTGACAGATGATTTCACTTCATTTTTTTCTTTCTCATCTGGCATATATGAGACAACTGTTTTAACATTTTCATTCTGATAGTGAGCAATGTTTCAATGTTTTACTGAACAATGTTGCAGCCTCTAAATTATAAATAAGGAGAGCTTTTGGTGGTGGAGAGGGAACAATAACACCTTCTGGGGTCCACTCAGAAAAGGTCCCACATCAATGCAATTACTGTTATTCTTATTTGCGTACTCTGGTGTCTTTTATAGGACTAATGGGAGACATAATCATGGTTTTTATTTTCAGGAACAGTTTATTACTTGCTATTGTGCCCTTGCCTACATATCATTTTTTTCTTAAGTTTCAAGCAGTTTTTTTGTTTCCTCACATTTTAAAAGTTAAAGTACAAGGAGCTCATCTGTAATGTTGTTGTTATTGGCAGCAAAATGTTGCATTTATTGAAACCTTTCCTTTTCTATTTATGGAATAATATGTCACAATCCATAGAATTTGCTAGGTATGCGAGCCATTGTTTTAAACGATGCACATATACCATCACTCATACCATCACTCTAATCTCAGGATAAGTCTATGAGATGGAGTTGAAAAGCTAATAAGGGGTGGCGCCAAGATTTGAAGTAGTTACTCTGACACTGTTGTTCTCTAGTGAGTTCACCTATGTATTAACAATATGGTACAAATCAAAGCATCTGGGAGGAATTCTCCTGTATCAGGTTTATTCCTGCACCATAAGCCAGTGCATCTGCCATCTTGGGCAGCCAACTTATGTGGGAGTTGTTTTTTGACTGGGGGGAGGGGAAGGGCTCTTGAGTATTTCAAGGAGAAATCAGTATTCACAGGAGTCTGGGAGTTAACTGATGAGTCTCACATTCATAACATCCTTTAAAGTGTTTTGCTGGTGCCTATAATGAAATCCGATCCTTTAATTTTCCTTTTAGATGTGACCTATTGGGGCTGATATAGTTTTAAATTAACGTCTTTAAATTAAAAATTAGTCTTTTTCCCTCAGCTTTTTTTCACACTCATGAATCCCCTACCATTGTTTTTATATTCCAGTTTCCTGAACATTTGGCTCATAGTGAGATTATTAAATATTCCCAAATTCTGCACCTACATTGATGACAAATACCAGAAATGAAAGTATCAGCATGAAGCTAGCAATTTATTCCTAGAGCAATCATGGGATTCTATCAGAGAATTTTTTTCTGTTACAAGCCATAGTGATCTGAAGCTGGCTTTCCTTCTTTGTATTTTTAAGTTCTATTGGATGATGTGTGTGATATATCATCTAATATGTCCTAATATAAAAGAAAACAATATGATGATGAAAGAACATCTCTTGGCCTGGGAAGCAGGCATTAGTAGTTACTTCCTTCACAATCATTTTCTGTATGAACCTGGGCAATATATTTATTTGGCTTTCTTGGTTCTTTTTTATCTGTAAAGTTATAAAAACTGCTTAGCTGTCCTTCAGATATTTCAAAAATTTTGAAAAATTGTTAAGCACTCTTATTTCTCAGGCCTAAATGATAGTTATTAAGTGACACTTTATTATAAGTTTTCTACTCCAAGCATTTCCTTGAGGTATAGATATTAAGGAAACAAAAGAAATTATAAATAGAGAAAAATGGGATGCAGGAGGCAATTTTGGTGCTGTGCCATATAGGCAGCCTCTTTCCAGAACACTCTGTCACACCATCTCTGTTTCTGTCTGTACGACTCCAGGATTGAAGACTCGGGGCAAGCATCAAAGGAACCTTCTTGTATTGTCTGTCTTTTTTTTTTTTTTTTTTTTTTTTTTTAGCAAAGACCCCCAAATCGGGTTTGCAGCTTTATTACAACTTTCAAAATACATTTTATCTTATCTGTGGCTCAGGAAATCCCAGGTATCTTCCTAGCAGACTGAAATGTGAACACAACTGGACAGTGCTTTGGGAGTTTAAGCCCCAGACAACGCATACCCGGCTCATTGTGCTCTGGTCCAAAGCCTCCTGCTTCTTCTCGGAGCTTTTCAGTCCCGGCACCACACAGACAGGACGGTCCGGTGATCCATCAAACCCAAGGGCGAAGGCTCAGGGTTAGGACCACTTCTTGGTGACACTGAGATGGTCGAGCTGGTCTGCAACGAACCTGTGCGGGGCGGGGTGGGGAACTTGGAGGTCCTGGCCACCTTCAAGGCCTCGAAGGCCTCGGCCCTGCGCTGCGGCTTGGCCGTACTCCTGCTCGGCGCTCATGGAGGGCATGCTCAGCCAGTAGTGGTTCTCGGCCTCGATCTCCAGCCGACGGATCATGTTATGCTTCGCAAACACGGACACCTGCGGTGGCCGCCAGTGCTTCCCGCTCCACTGCCGGCCCGGAATGCGATTGCGCGGAGCAGCGCGGTGAGGAACATGCTGCCTGCCGCGTTCTCCAGAACTCTGTATTGTGTTTCATTGACAGTAAGATACCAAGAAAGCAATGAAGATGCCTGCCCATCCTCCACATTGCACATTCGCAGAGTGCTGCACTGTCACTTTCTCAGCTCCTCTCCCCAGACCACAGTCCTCACAGCAGTACACTCTTTCCCTCAGCACTTCAGACAACTGGTGACTAGCTTTACCTGTATTTTTGTGATTAATTGACAGATGCCTCTGCATTCACTAGACTTAATTTCTTTGGGGACAATGATAGTGTCTTACTGTAAGTCTTACAACTTACTGTTGTATCCTAGGAAACCAGCCTGGGGGCATAGTGCAGGCATTTGCTGACTTTATTAGGGTTTCTGATGTGCCTCCTTGGTCATTTATACTTTTTTTAGATTTTATTTATATGTTTGAGTGGTACAATTATAGACAGAGAAAGGGAGAGACAGAGAAAAAGGTCTTCTATCCACTGGTTCACTCCCCAAATGGCTGCAACAGGTGGAGCTGAGCCTATGTGAAGCCAGGAGCCAGGAGCTTCTTCCAGGACTCCCATGCAGTTGCAGGGGCCCAAGCACTTGGGCCATCTTCTACTGATTTCCCAGGCCACAGCAGAGAGCTGGATAGAAAGAGGAGCAGCCGAGTCAGAAACTGGTGCCCATATGCGGTGCAGACACCACGGGCAGAGGCTTAGCCTACTGCACCACAGTGCCGGCCCCCATACAAATTATTTTACCTTAAATGACCATTTTCTTGTTTCTCTTTTGAACCATATTTTAAATAACATGTAAGTAGGTTATATTAGCTGTACATTTCATTTTTGAATAATAAAGGGAATCTTATAAAATATTTGTTCTAAAGTGCCTTGGTTTTGATGGGATTGAGAACCATAGCCTTGTATGTAGTGTGTAATAAATATTTATTTGATGAATACGTGAACAAAGTAGAACTTAAGAATCAGGTCTGCTTTTATAGATAAAGGAGACCACAATAGTTCCTAAAGCAAAGGGAGTATTTCTCAAGTCACATATACATGGATGAGAACAAGGTATTACAGGCACAACACATGGGAATTTCAGACTTTAAATTTAATACCTCTTTATTAAGTTCTGGAGAACTTCTTTTTAAGGGTATCTCAATGCAATAGGTAGGTTTGTTTTGCAGTTTTACAACTTTGATAATTGAGTTTTTTAAAAAATTTATTTATTTATTTGAAAGGCAAAGTTACAGAGTAAGAGATGAGGCGGGGAGAGAGTGAGAGAGAGATTCCATTTTCTGGTTCACTCCCCATGGCTGCGACAGCCAGGGCTGGGCCAGGCCGAAGCTAGCAGCCAGGAGTTTCTTTTTTTTTTTTAAAAAAAAAAAAAAGATTTTATTTATTTGAGAGATAGAGTTACAGACAGTGAGAGAGAAAGCCAAAGAGAAAGGTCTTCCGTCCATTGGTTCACTCCCAAAATGGCCGCAATGGCTGGAGTTGCACCGATCCAAAGCCAGGAGCCAGGTGCTTCTTCCCGGTCTCCCATGTGGGTGCAGGGGCCCAAGCACTTGGGCCATCTTCTCCTGCCAGGCCACAGCAGGGAGCTGGATTGGAAGAGGAACAGCTGGGACTAGGACCAGTGCCCATATGGGATGCTGGCACCACAGGTGGTGGATTAACCTACTGTGCCACCATGCTGGCCCCAGCCAGGAATATCTTCTGTGTCTCCCACATGGGTGCAAGAGCCCAATGACTTGGGCCATCTTCCACTGATTTCCCAAGTGCATTAGCAGGGAGTTGGGTAGGAAGTGGAGCAGTGGAGCAGCCAGGCATGGACTGGCACCTGTATGGGATGCTGTTGCTGAGGCCATGGCTTTTAACCTACTGTGCCACAGTGGTGGCCCCCCACCTTTTCTGTACAGAGTTAGGAGCGCAGTGATACTTCCCACTCTACCCTCCCTTCCACCCATGCTCCTACCCTCCCTTCTCTTCCCTTTCTTATTCTTTCTTTTAATATTTACAATGACATATTTGCAGTTTATTTTATAATCATAGGCTTAACTATATAAAGAATTCAACAAACAATAAGACAAAAAAAAAAAAAACACTGTTCCTCAAAAGTAGAGACAAGGGCTGTAAACAATCATCAAATCTCAAAATGTCAATTTTGTTCATGTACATTACATTTTTTGTACTCTATTATTTACCACAAATCAGGGGAAACATATGGTATTTGTCTTTTTGGACTGACTTATTTCACTAAGTATAATGGTTATTAAACATGTAGTCTGCTGCATTTTTCAATTTTACATGGATTGTTTGCCATTAAATTATCTTAAACTCTCTTTAAAATGTCTTCCATGCTTTACAAATTATTTTTCCTTGAGAACTAGATTCCCAGCTACTACAAAGACTTATTTATGTTCTGTTTTCACAGTCTTCAGAAATGTTTAATATGTTTAAAAACATTTATTTATTTGAAAGGTAGAGCAACAGAGAGACAGAGGGAGGAGGTGGTGGTTGGGGAGAGACTTTCCACTTGCAGGTTCATTCCCCAATTACCACAGCAGGTAACATGTCTGGGAAGTCAGGAGTTAAGAATTCCATCGTGGTCTCCCACATGGGTGGCAGGATCCAAGTACTTGGGGCATCTTCTGATGCCTTCTCAGACACTTTAGCAGGGAGCTGTACAAAAGCAGAGCAGCTCAGACTTGAACCAGCACTCTGATTTGGGATGCCAGTGTTCTTGGTGGTTTAACCCACTGCACCACAACACTAGAAAATTTAGAAAATTTTGATTAGCTGGAGTTTATTATCAATTATAAAACATATCAGTCACAACTTTTTAAAAATTATATAAAATTACATAATATAATGGTTTTGTTGATCATGCCTAATGTAATTCCCTTTCCTTTGCTACAAAATGATATGGATTAATTACTTTATATAATAAAGATTTGAAAAATCAGTGCTTTGTGTGTTTTGGGCAGAGAGTGTCTGAACAACAGTGCACAAAGCACCATGGAGCTGTTAAACCAGAACTACTATACAACTGTTCATCCATATTTCTTGAGTGTTTATAGAGTAAAAATTCAACTTTTTGGGTGGCAAGTAGAGTACTCTTAAAATATTCTTGCCAAGGTGTTGAAAAATAATAAATATGAGTGTTGCTAACTCAATGCAATGGAAACTTGTATTTTTTGTGCAATGAAAGTATTTTATACATAATTTCCAAATGGCTATACCTGTCATCCCTATAACTTTAACATCTTGGATACATTCCCTAAATAATCAGGCTTTCATTTTAGAGAGCAAGAATCCCAAGACATCTTTAATTAATTTAACCTAATATTGCAAACACAACGATGTGCCAGAAATGTTAACATCAAAAGAAATACATCTGCTATAACATAAAAATGGTTTTGTGATCTGCTATATTAATTTCTCAAGTGGAGGACATTATAACAGTTATTTCTGCTTCTTCAGAGGAAGGCATTTGACCTCTTTGAATGATTCAGATTCCCCAAAAGCATGAAATTTGATCTAGTAAGGTGGTGGCTATGCACAGCCCTCCACAGTATAGTCTACCCGGTGGTAGCTGGGACAACTGATGAGACATCACCCTGGTGTCCACAGCCAAATTTTACTGCAGAGCCAGCCCTGGTGATTCTCTCTGGGGGCGTGGAATTGACCAGGGAAAGAATATCAGGTTAATCAATCTGTTGTTTAGTGTGTGCTCAGAGATACCCATATGTGTTGGCCTGGAGAGAGAGCCGCATTTATTTATGTGTGTAGCTGTGTATATGTGAGGGTCTTTTCCATTCCCAGACTCTCAATTAGCTGTTTTAAATATTTGTGGTATGCTCTGAGCAGCCCACTCATTTCCTTCACATGTGACAAGAACTGATGCTCTGCTTTTGCATGCACTGGTATTACAAGGGATAGTACAGTTCATGGGAAAAATAGCTGGAAAAGGGCCATGGTTGTCTTTTGTGAGTCCTCTGCCAAGTTGAAACTAAAATTATTTTCAGACACTGGAGGACAACTGCATTTCCTGGTAGGAACAGGAATAACAAAAATCTTAATTATGTTTTGATAGATTTTAAAGCATGTGAAATAATAGATCACTTACATTTAGAATTCTAGTCTCTTTTAAATATTCAGTAAATGTTAGCTACTATCTAGTGTGATGATAGTATGTTATTGTAAGAAATTCATTAATTGTTATCTAAATGCTGGTACTATGGTGCAACAGCCTGATTTACAATCTTAGTTACATCAGGTAGTTCCTGATTTTGAGAAAATATATGTTAATTGCAGTTTAATGTTGCTGGAAGGATTTAATAAGAGACACTTAATTTTTTTTTTTTTTTTGGACAGGCAGAGTGGACAGTGAGAGAGAGAGAGAGAGAGAGACAGAGAGAAAGTTCTTCCTTTTGCCGTTGGTTCACCCTCCAATGGCCGCTATGGCCGGTGCACTGTGGCCGGCACACTGCACTGATCAGATGGCAGGAGCCAGGTACTTCTCCTGGTCTCCCATGGGGTGCAGGGCCCAAACACTTGGGCCATCCTCCACTGCACTCCCAGGCCACAGCAGAGAGCTGGCCTGGAAGAGGGGCAACTGGGACAGAATCCGGCGCCCCGACTGAGACTAGAACCTGGTGTGCCGGTGCCGCAAGGTGGAGGATTAGCCTATTGAGCCGTGGCGCCGGCCATTAATGTTTACTTTTAAAATGTTCATTAATCATCACTAATTCTTGGACTCACAAATTTCTAAGATGATCTCTCTGTGGTTTTCCATGATTCTAAGGGGTACTTTTTTTTTTTTTTAAAGATTTTCTTTATTTATTTGAGAGATAGAGTTACAAACGGTGACAGGGAGAGAGAAAGGTCTTCCATCTGCTGGTTCACTCTCCAAATGGCTACAACGGCCAGAGCTGGGCTGATCCTAAACCAGGAGCTAGGAGCTTCTTCCAGGTTTCCCACGTGGATGCAGGAACCTAAGGACTTAGGCCA